CACAGGGTCGGCAGGGGGTCCACTACCGCCCACAGGGTCGCTATGAAGTCAACTACCACCCATAGTGTTTGTATAGTGTTCACTACCGCCCATAGTATTATTATGGGGTCCACTACCCCTCATAGTGTCGGTATGGGGGTCCATTACTACCCACGGGTGTGTCTGGGGTCTATTTTTTTCTGTATTGCAGAAGTGGCAATACTGCTTTTCCAATCTCATTTCTTGTTCAATGTAAAATATTTGTGGGCTCGACTTGCAACAATTTATATATATATATATATATATATATATATATATATATATGGTTATATATATATACTCTGTGGTTGGTTAGGTCCTGATAGATTTCATGGTATAATATTATTATTTGCTATTTTCCACCTGAGACTAGGCAAGTTGAAGTCACCTAGGAAGATAATATCAGGTATCGGGTTCTCCAAATTATCAAGGCTATTCTCTATTTTGTTTATCTGTTCTGTGAATTCCTCAGCCGTTGCATCTGGCAGTTTGTATATTAGAATAATCACCAACTTTATTTTCTCTATTTTTAATCCCAGTACCTCTACCACCTCATTTGTAACATTTAGGAGCTCCGAGCATACAAGGTCTTCCCTAATATACAGACCCACTCCTCCATGTGACCTAATTTTCCTATCACACCTGTATAGGTTATATCCTGGAATCCAGATCTCACTGTCCAACAATTCCCCTGCATGGGTTTCTGTGAAAGCTCCAAATACTGCATTTGACTCCGTGAGGAGGCCATTTATGAACTGTACTTTGTTGTTTGTTCTTGTTTTCAGTCCTTCTATGTTGGCAAAGATGAATGAGGTTACTCTATTAGTGATAGTTTGAATGGGAGACTTTTTCGGCAAGCCCATTATGCGTGGACATAATGAGTTTGTTCTGACCAGTGCTGATTGTTGTAGGGCAGTTGCCTGTCGTAGTTGTAGTTCCCTTTCGGTGTGTAATTGTATCTGTAATTCTGGAATGTAAGTGGATCTGGCATCCAGTTCCATACACTCTCCATGCTCCTCCTTTTGAATTCTCTTTCGGTCTGGTAAAAATTTTTTTATAGAGTTTCCTCCAAATTCATTATCCTGCTTGACACTCTTTATGTAGCGTTCCGTGCCTTTCACGTGAAAGTGTGAGCAGCTGAGGTCATAGCATTTTCTGTCCTCCAGTGAGGTTTGGCACATGTCAGGATGGAAAAACCTACATATTGATCCAAATCGACACTCACCTTTCCTAAGCATATTTTAACACTTTTGGGATGTTGGTAACTGCATTCTAATCCTTTCTTATTACCAGCATATCTATGTCTGCATATGCCCTTTGCATAAAATTTGCATAAGTCTCTCCTTCTGTTCTGAATTGCTCTATCGGGAACCATCGTAGTGTCTGTACCTATCGAGCTGTCAGTGCTGTCTGTTACACTTTCTAGTTTACTGTCATCTACATCCGGGCCTACTGAGTCAGAGTTTACAACTTCCTGAGTTTCAGCCTTAGTTTCATCCTTTACTATAGCCTCCGCCCCTGGTATATTAGAATTGTTGTTGTTCCTTTCCCACTCCTTCTGGATGGCTGCTAGGCTTCCAGACTGGCTGGCTAGGCTTACAGGCTGGACCTGTAGCTCCAGCCCCCCTCTACTGGCAGAGGGTTGGTGCTGGACCTGTAGCTCCAGCCCCCCTCTACTGGCAGGGGGTTGGGGCTGGACCTGTAGCTCCAGCCCCCCTCTACTGGCAGAGGGTTGGTGCTGGACCTGTAGCTCCAGCCCTCTCTACTGGCAGAGAGTTGGTGGTGGACCTGTAGCTCCAGCCCCCTCTACAGGCAGGGGGTTTGTGCTGGACCTGTAGCTCCAGCCCCCCTCTACTGGCAGAGGGTTTACGCTGGACCTGTAGCTCCAGCTTTCCTCTACTGGCAGGGGGTTGGTGCTGGACCTGTAGCTCCAGCCCCCCTCTACTGGCAGAGGGTTTACGCTGGACCTGTAGCTCCAGCTTTCCTCTACTGGCAAGGGGTTGGTGCTGGACCTATAGCTCCAGCTCCCCTCTACTGGCAGAGGGTTGGTGCTAGACCTGTAGCTCCAACCCCCTCTACTGGCAGAGAGTTGGTGCTGGACCTGTAGCTCCAGCCCCCTATACTGGCAGGGGGTTTGTGCTGGACCTGAAGCACCAGCGCCCCTTCTACTGGCAGGGGATTGGTGCTGTTCCTGTAGCTCCAGCCCCCCTCTACTGGCAGGGGGTGGGTGCTAGACCTGTAGATTCAGCCCCCCCTCTACTGGCAAGGGGTTGGTGCTGGATTTGTAGCTCCAACCCCCCCTCTACTGGCAGGGGGTTGGTGCTGGACTTATAGCTCCAGCCTTCCTCTACTGACAAGGGGTTGCAGCTGGACCTGTAGCTCCAGCCCCCTCTCTACTGGCAGGGAGTTGGTGCTGGACCTTTAGCTCCAGCCTCACTTTACTGGCAAGGGGGTTGGTGCTGGACCTATAGCTCCAGCCCCCCTCTACTGGCAGGGGGTTGGTGCTGGACCTGTAGCTCCAGGCCCCCTCTACTGGCAGAGGGTTTACGCTAGACCTTTAGCTCCAGCTTTCCTCTACTGGCAGGGGGTTGGTGCTGGACCTGTAGCTCCAGCTCCCCTCTACTGGCAGAGGGTTGGTGCTAGACCTGTAGCTCCAGCCCCCCTCTATTGGCAGAGAGTTGGTGCTAGACCTGTAGCTCCAGCCCCCCTCTATTGGCAGAGAGTTGGTGCTGGACCTGTAGCTCCAGCCCCCCCTCTAGTGGCAGAGGGTTGGTGCTGGACCTGTAGCTCTAGCCCCCCTCTACTGGCAGGGGGTTGGTGCTGGACCTGTCGCTCCAGCCCCCCTCTACTGGCAGAGAGTTGGTGCTGGACCTGTAGCTCCAGCCCCCTATACTGGCAGGGGGTTGGTGCTGGACCTGTAGCTCCAGCCCCCCTCTACTAGCAGAGAGTTGGTGTTGGACCTGTAGCTCCAGCCCCCCCCCCCCCCTCTGCTGGCAGGGGGATTGGTGCTGGACCTGTAGCTCCAGCCCCCCTTCACTGGCAGGGGGGTTGGTGCTGGACCTGTAGCTCCAGCCCCCCCCCCTCTACTGGCAGGGGGTTTGAGCTGGACCTGTAGCTCCAGCCCCACTCTACTGGCTGGGGGTTTGTGCTGGACCTGAAGCTCCAGCCCCCTCTACTGGCAGGGAATTGGTGCTGTTCCTGTAGCTCCAGCCCCCCTCTACTGGCAGTGGGTTGGTGCTGGACCATTAGCTCCAGCCTCACTCTGCTGGCAGGGGGGTTGGTGCTGGACCTATAGCTCCAGCCCCCCTCTACTGGCAGGGGGTTGGTGCTGGACCAGTAGCTCCAGCCCCCCCTCTACTTGAAGGGGTTGGTGTTGGATCTGTAGCTCCAGCCCCCCCCCCCCAACTGGCAGGGGGTTGGTGCTGGACCTGTACCTCCAGCCCCCTCTCTACTGGCAGGGGTTTGGTGCTGGACCTGTAGCTTCAGCCCCCTCTACTTGCAGGGGTTGGTGCTGGACATATAGCTTCAGCCCTCTCTACAGGCAAGGGGGGTTGGTGCTGGACATATAGCTTCAGCCCTCTCTACAGGCAAGGGGGGTTGGAGCTGAACTTGTAGCTCCAGCCTCCCTCTACTGGCAGGGGATTGATGCTGGACCTGTAGCTCCAACCCTCCCCTCTACTGGCGTTGGTGCTGGACCTGTTGCTTCAGCGCCCCTCTACTGGCAGGGGGTTGGTGCTGGACCTGTAGCCCCAGCCCACCTCTACTGGCAGGGGGTTGGTGCTGGACCTGTAGCCCCAGCCCCCCTCTACTGGACGGGGTTGGTGCTGGACCTGTAGCCCCAGCTCCACTCTACTGGCAGGGGGTTGGTGCTGGACCTGAAACTCCAGCCCCCCTCTACTGGCAGGGAGTTGGTGTTGGATCCGTAGCCCCAGCCTCCCCCCCTCTACTAGCAGGGGGTTGGTGCTGGACTTGAAGCTCCAGCCCCCCCCCCTCTACTGGCAGGGAGGTTTGTGCTAGACCTGTAGCTCCAGCCCCCCTCTACTGGCAGGGGGTTGGTGTTGGATCTGTAGACCCAGCCCCCCTCTACTGGCAGGGGGTTGGTGCTGGACCTGTAGCTCCAGCCCCCTTCTACTGGCAGGGAATGCTGCTGGACCTGTAGCTCCAGCTCCCCTCTACTGGCAGGGGGTTTATGCTGAACCTGTAGCTCCAGCCCCCTTTCTACTGGCAGGGGGGTTGGGGATGGCCCTTTTGTTCCAGCCCCCACTCTACTGGCAGGGGTTGCTGCTGGACCTGCAGCTCCAGCTCCCCCCTCTTCTGGCAAGGAGTTGCTGCTGGATTTGTAGCTTCAGTCCCCAATCTACTGGCAGGGGGTTCGTGCTGGACCAGTAGCTCCAGCCCCCTATACTGGCAGGGGGTTGGTGCTGGACCTGAAGCTCCAGCCCCACCTCTACTGGCTAGGGGTGGGTGCTGGATTTGTAGCTACAGCCCCTCTACTGGCAGGGGGTTGGTGCTGGACATGTAGCTCCAGCCCCACTCTACTGGCAGGGGGTTGGTGCTGGACCTGTAGCTCCAGCCCCCCCCTCTACTGGCAGGGGGTTGGTGCTGATCCTGTAGCTTCAGCCCCCCTTTACTGGCAGGGGGTTGGTGCTGGATCTGATGCTCCAGCTCCCCCCTCTACTGGCAGGGGGTTGGTGCTAGACCTGTAGCTCCAGCCCCCCTCTACTGCCAGGGGGTTGGTGCTGGACCTGTAGCTCCAGCCCCCCTCTACTGCCAGGGGGGTTGGTGTTGGACCTGTAGCTCCAGCCTCCCTCTACTGGCAAGGGGTTGGTGCTGGCATTGTTTGGGAGTTTATTAGCAGTTTGAAGGCTTCAGTCTCTTCGAACCCTGCAGTGGTCTGTTTTGGTTCACTGTCTTCCTGGATGCTTTCCCAGTAGGTTGGTGGAGTGTCACCCGCTCTCTGCGCCTCTGTGACGGGGGCCAGGATCCCGGGTTCAATAGAGGATCACAGGTTCAATCACCATGCAGGCCAGAAATGGATCCCATGTTTCCTTTCACCTGATGTCCCTGTTCACCTACCAGAATATATTTATCCAGGAGTTAGACAACTATTTTAGATTGTATGTTAAGGAAAGTCAATAGCTGACCTTGGGGAACTCCAATAAACCTAAGAACAGGCTTCCTTTCCTCAAAACGCAACTCAATATCTTGTAATATGACCTAGGAGAGAAATAAAAAACTTACTGTTAATTTCTTCTGAGTGATCTCTCCAGTGATTTCCCGAACTTTTTTCATGATGCTGGAGGCTGAGTCTCCCAGGTGTACGGGGTCAGCTGTGGTACCTGTCTCTGTGGTCATCATCTCCAGGGCCTCCCTGATGGTCTCCTGCACCTGTCATTACCAACACAAACATTAATGGTGGAGGCTGAGTCTCCCAGGTGTACGGGGTCAGCTGTGGCACCTGTCTCTGTGGTCATCATCTCCAGGGCCTCCCTGATGGTCTCCTGCACCTGTCATTACCAACACAAACATTAATGGTGGAGGCTGAGTCTCCCAGGTGTACGGGGTCAGCTGTGGCACCTGTCTGTGGTCATCATCTCCAGGGCCTCCCTGATGGTCTCCTGCACCTGTCATTACCAACACAAACATTAATGTGGAACCTGGACTATAATGAAGCATCTGGCTCTGAGTAAAGTAACTGGACTATAATGAAGCATCAGGTTCTGAGTAAAGTAACTGGACTATAATGAAGCATCAGGCTCCAAGTAAAGTAACTGGACTACAATGAAGCATCAGGCTCTGAGTAAAGTAACAGGACTATAATGAAGCATTAGGCACTGAGTAAAGTAACTGGACTATAATGAAGCATCAGGCTCTGAGTAAAGTAACTGGACTATAATGAAGCATCAGGCTCTGAGTAAAGTAACTGGACTATAATGAAGCATCAGGCTCTGAGTAAAGTAATGGGACTACAATGAAGCATCAGACTGAGTAAAGTAACTGGACTATAATGAAGCATCAGACTGAGTAAAGTAATTTGACAATATAAGTAATGTTTCTCTACGCTGACCACAGTGTAGAGAAACACCAAGATTACAATTGACTTTATTAATAAAAATGTTTCAGGCATTAGAGCAAAATGTTTCCTATATATAAAGTCTACTCTCATCTTGATGTGTCTCCATGTCAAAAGTGTTTATATAGAGGCAAAACTACACTCAGTTGGGTGAGAACAATGTGACCTTCAGCAGCGTACCTTCACTGAGGTGTGGACAGTCTTGACATCTGGGAAGAGTTCCTGGCACTTCTGGAGCCAATCTTCTACCTTCATCTTGCACTCATGAGCTGTGTCTATGGTTGTGTCAACTTCCTGTGCTGTGTTGACTGTGTCGAGGCTCCCCACCATGACCTGCAGCTGAGTCTTCCCTTCCTCTCCTTGTGTTGTTATATCCACCACACTGGTATCCTCCAGTTCCAAGAGCTTCATTGCTGACTTGTTCTGCTCTACCAGAGCATAGAGTCTGTCCTGGAGCTGGAGGTGGTGAGTCTTCCAGTCCCCCAGCTGCCCCCGGTACCACCCCAGCTGGGACAGTACCTCTTCACAGCTAGTAATGAGGATGCTGATGATGCTCTTCTGCTCCTGCACCAGGGAACGTAACGTCTTACTGATGCCTCTTGCAGGAGCTTTAATGGATTTTCCTGGTACATCCTCGATACCTTTTAGTTTTCTGATAAGGGCCTCCATACCATAATTAATTGAGAACTGAGTAGCAGCTGTGGCAGCATGTTGGGCATGGCACCTGGGGCAGGTCAGCTGCCCATTCTTGATAGCATTGTCAATACACTGGGAGCAGAATGTGTGTCCGCAAGGCAGTGTGCGAGGCCGTAGCAGATTGTCTTCATAATTGTTAAAACACAGTGAACATTCCTCTGGGTTGTTATCCTGTGGAAAAAAATATTTGGTTAAGCTAGAAGAATTTAGAACAAAAAGTAATATTACAGTACTGTACTGTATTTACCGATACAAATTACATAATATTTACATAATTTCTTTGTACAGAGGAGCCTCGGTATTTGCACTGCTCATAATTCACACTTTTCGGTATTCAGACGCTGTGTTCATGTTCGGTATTCGTCTGTTTGCTCGGCACTCAGATGTAAACACGGGTCCCTGATGAATCAGTTTCACCATAGCTGTTGTTCAGTGCACAACCTACTACACTTTTCTCTTGGATATTTTTTATATTCTTATTATAAATAAGTCACCATGACACCTATGAAAGTTTGTGATATGAGCCTAACAAAAAGAAAAATGGTTAGAATCACAATACAGATGAAGAAAGAACTCACAGCTAAATATGAGAGTGGTACCTGAGTGTCAGCTCTTGTTACAGAGTTTGGTATGCCTAAATCTAGTTCTCTATTAAAAGAAATGTGTGCAAAATGAGGGAAAGTGTAAACCTTTTCTTGAAATTATCACCTTGAAAAACTGTGTTACAAATCTGTTGAATGACAATGCTATGTCTCACTTTAAAAACATTTTAATGCACAGGCAAAAACAATCATCCTTGGACAAGTTTCTTGTAAGGAAAGCATTCAGTGAGTGTAATGAGGGAAACAGAAAAGAGAAAGAACATCAGAAGTACAACTTCCAGAAGTTTTAATGTTAGGGGACTCCCCTGCCAAAGAACATCTCTCTTCCTCTGCCTCACTAGTTTCCACATATGCCATCAACTCTCCGAAGTACAGGTAAAGTGTAGTGTGTTAGCATTTATTCCATTTAATTATTGTATAACCATACAGTATTTATTTTTGTGGTTTGGAACTGATTAATCCAATTTACATTATTCCTTACTAGCTGTACTTGGCCACGCGTTGCTGTGGCTCAACAACGCATGTGCGATCTTGAGCCACAGCAACTTTTCCCTGTCTCCCAGTCCTCCCCACCATTCCCCAGTCCCCTCATCCTCCCAACCATTCCCCACTACATCATCCCCTCGTCCTCCAAACCATCTCTCACTCCCCCGTCAACTCATCCTCCCTACCATTCCCCCCCTCCACAGTCCCCTCATCCTCTTCACCATCACCAACTCCCCTGTACCCTTGTCCTCCCCACCATTCTCCATTCCCCAGTTCCCTCGGCCCCACCATCCCCAACTCCCCAGACTAAAGAGCCTAAAACTGTATTCCCTTGAGCGCAGGCAGGAGAGGTCCATAATAAATTACACGTGGAAAATATTAGAGGGGCTGGTCCCAAACCTGCACACAGAAATAACATCACATGAGACCAGAAGACATGGCAGGATGTGCAGAATACCCCCGTTGAAAAGCAGAGGTGCAACAGGTACTCTGAGAGAGAACTCTATCAACATCAGAGGCCCGAGACTGTTCAACACGCTTCCACTACACATAAGGGGCATAACTGGCAAACCCCTCACAGTGTTCAAGAGAGAACTGGATAAGCACCTCCAAAGGATACCTGATCAACCAGGCTGTGACTCATACATCAGACTGCGAGCAGCCACGTCCAACAGCCTGGTTGATCAGTCCGGCAACCAGGAGGCCTGGTCGACGACCGGGCCGCGGGGACGCTAAGCCCCGGAAGCACCTCAAGGTAACCCCCATCTCCTCGTCCTTCCCACCATTACCCCCCCTCCTCTGTCTCCCTCACCATCCCCCCACTCCCGTCACCTCGTCCTCCCCATCATTCCCCACCTCCGTCCCCTCGTCCTCTCCACCATTCCCTACTCCCTCATCCGATACATTCCCAAATGATCTGATGTTCCCATTAGAAAATTGGAAACATCACATGATCTGATGTTCCCATCACTGAAATATAAGAAAAGCAGTTAAAAAAATGAAAAAAATGAAAAAAATTCTATACAGTACTCACAAAATTTACGGTATGATAAAAACACAGCTCAATTCCAACTCCATGTCACACAAAATAATTACTGTAGACACTCGATTATCCGGGATTCGAATATCCGGAAAACCCCCTTATACGGCCAAAATCGTGACCGGATAAAGTTCTCAAGATCCAGCCAAAATGTCCTTAGGAGCCGGAAAATCTGGGCCAGTTAATAACTTGCTTCCTATGTTACAATATCCGGACAGTCAGCCGGACAACGAGTGAATTGTTCGGATATGAAAGCCAGGCCGCGGGCCGTACCGTATTAATCCCGTATGGCTGTGGCTTGAGGCGCATGGTGTAGGCGGGGGTGGGGTGGGTAGGATGTGTTAGGAGAGAGAGGAGCGTTGGGAGGGACCACCTGGGGGGATAAGGGAGATGTGGAGCGGCCTATACACTACAGTACAGTAATTACCATTAATTTTAGAACAATTCATCATAGCCAAAATCAAAAGAAATACTAAATATTTATATCTTTCCAGTGTTCCGACACCAATTTTCATGTGACGTCTTTCATTTTGGCACCAAATTGTGTGCAATCTAAAGGCGCTCATTTTGAAACCACACCCAGATTGATCAGTTAAAATTTTAATTTTTAACAAATATTTTAATAGATGATTCTGACCACATCATCCGAGACGGCCCAGGAGAAAAACGGATGTCACTGGAAAGCGACATCGGAGTGCAAAAGTGATAATTATTAATACACTCACCAACACATGTTAATGACAACTGTTATGAGCCACCAGTCCCTCATAATATCCACCCCACCCAGTATGAGAGTTATAGTATTCCATACTTATACCATGTTTGGACTGCCTTATAACCCATTAATATGCAATACAGCATGTGTAGTTAGGTAGGTAGTACTGAATTTATAAGTGTTTCAGGCTCTCCAGACAACAGTATTAACAAAAACTCCATGATTTGCTCATCATCAGCTCTACTGAACTGCCTGAAGAACAAGGTCAAAACTGTTCAAGTGTAGCCCAACAACTGATTACGTCAGAGATAAACTTTAATGATACTATTAAATCTATCAGAATAGATAAAAACAATCACCACAGCACCAGGCAGATGCTCACTAAACTAGCTTATCCAATGACAAGTAAGACCTCATTCAATCAGCTACAAATATAAAACCAATCTTTATATTAACCCTTAACATGCTCGGGGTCTAATATCCTGCCATCCCCACAGGTGCATGTCATTTTGAAAAAAAAAAATTTTTTATTTTTTTTTTTGCTAATCTGTTAAGTTCTGTTCACTGATCACGGGAAAAATAAAAAAAAAATTCTATTGTACTTACTTTTGTTGCAATAGAGCCGGAAAGCTCAGTGATGACGTCACAATCTGCATGTTCGCTCATGCAGTACACGCCCCAGAGGTGTTGCGCGCGGTCCTCAAACAGCCAGAGTTGCCACAAATATATTTTCGCGCTATTTATTTACAATGTCTAGGCGCATTTTATCCAATTTTTTTCACTAATTGTGTTTCAAATACTGTTTGAACATATTTTGTATCAATAATTGTTGCATATTTGAGTATACACAGGCGCACACAAATGTTTTCAATTACGGCAATATAATATGTCATTACAGTCTATTATATTGTATGTTCTGCTTATATTTGTATATATTTACACACACGCACACGCTATCTGCTTATATGTTTACATATTTACACACTCGCACACGCTATACACACTTTGAAGCACACTTAGAAGTTTTCTAGACTGTGGTAGTCATTGAAGCAGTCGACAGCACATAATGGGATACCACACGTTTCACACCATGTTTGCACAAGCTTCCGTTTCTTGTCTCTACGTGTCGTTGTTTTACACACCAAGCAATCACGTTGGGCTATTGCACGCTTCACACCAGGTGGCAAATACTTGAGTCTGTGTGCTAGGAAGCCTTCAGTGTGAGCGAGGCGTGGAGTACCAGCATGCTGCAACAGTGGGTTTATGATGGGCCGCTGAATACCTGGGACATCTTTTGCAAACTTTCCTAATAACTGTATTGCAGCATCAAATACAAAGTCACGGAAAGTGGGCTTACGTCCAGTTCTCACAAGGTACATGTTGAAACAGTTCAGCATGCTCATGTCCACAAGATGGAAGAACACTTTTTTCGTCCACCTACATGTCTTCCGCACACACTCTGCAGTGCCAATCATCATGTCTGATTTATCAATCAACCGCATGTTGATATTATAGTCTAAAACACAGTCTGGCTTATATAGTGGTGCATTTGTTTTATGGTTCACTTTCCCACTGTTCACCATTGTTCCATCATGAATTGTTGTCAACAAGTTCACCTCTCTTTTGTCTTTCCACCGAACTGACAGAATGTTATCACTTTTCCTTCTCTGACACTCACCAACTGCAATGTCGTTGTCAAACACAGGCATTTCCCTTCGTTGTGGCTTTACTGTACCAACCAATCCGGTTCTATTTTCTAGCAAGAACCGAGCTAGCAAGGGACTTGTATAGTAATTATCTGTGTATAAAATGTGTCCCTTGTTCATCCACGGAGCCATGATGGTCTTCACTACACTCCCCGAGAATCCATGTTCGTCGTTACCGGGAATGTCTACATCACTAGCCGAGTACAGAATCATGTGTAACACGTATCCTGTCTCACAATCACAAAGAACAAAAAATTTCAGGCCAAATCGGTTTCGTTTTGAGGGAATGTACTGTTTGAATGGAACACGTCCCTTGAAAAGTATGAGAGATTCATCAACCACCAGCTTCTGTGCTGGTACGTAAAAATCTCTGAATTTTCCAATAACATCGTTCATGTAGTGCCTCACTCGCCACAGTCTATCATCAGGTGTTCGGTCCTGAACACTTCCAAAATGTAGACACCTGAGGAGTATCTGAAACCTGTCTCGTGACATATATTTCCCGAATAAAGGTGTTGGTATTGTCTTGTCCTTGCTCCAATAGTCACTTATTGCATGTTTGTGACAGTGCTTCATCAACAAACAGAGTGCCAAAAACACATACATTTCCGCAACTGTGGTAT